GCTCTTGAAAATAAGCTGTTGCCAGCTAATTAACAGTCAATAACAATATTGCAGGAGGAAAGACTGCTCAAGGGAAGGGAATAAGGAAGTTGAATTTATCTTTGCAAAGGAAAATAGGCTTAATTATGGTGTCCTTTTAATATATCAAAATGAAGGTGCTCAGCCTGAGAGTCAGTTGTTCTTTCTTGAAGCTCATGGGTCCTGGATGTACTTGGGGATGAAAACAGATAGTTTCGTGATTAAGTTGCTTTTTCTCCAGTCAAGAGGAGGTCACATGGATTTCCATCCCCAAGAAAGAACAGATATCCTCATCTAAATGGTGGGCAGTATTCGAAATATCCTAAATCAAATTGGCAAAAGTAAATCTAGTGGAGCTACTGGGGTCAGATGGCATCGACAGAGGAGTCTGGAGAATCTTGAGGGTAAATTGGGACACTGATGGCCCAAGAGTACAGCCTGCAATCATTCCTATTCTGCACTTTCAAAGGTGAGCCAGCTTGAAAGCCAAGCAATTAATTAGTTATTTAGTTAATCAGTTAATTTTGAAAGTTTGGACAGGATGCCTTAGCAAATCAGACTCCAAAAATCTCCATTTCATCTCTGGCCAGCTGGTGGAATCTATCATGAAGAAAGGAATTACTGAATATTCAAGTATAATTATCTGAAAAGAAGCAGCATGATTTCTGTGACAAGAAATTATGCCCAGAGAAGCCATGATTTTTTTAAAAGCACAAAGAAATGAACTAGCAAATATAATTTTGATTTTTCAAAAACTCTCTGACAGCCTACCACCCAGAGTCAATTTCATGAGCTTTGGGCCTATAATTTGCATGATGATGGATCGAAAAACACCTAGAAAAAAAGACGAGAACCCAGCTGTGTGGAAGTTCATGCGTACTCAAAGTGACCTTAATGAATCTGTGTTTTTCAATTAGTGGAGGAGACTTCCCATAGAGACATCTCCAGAGTATGTCTGCGTTGGCATTATTTATGTTAGCAAAAAGCCAAGCCAAAGGGAAAAGACTACCAACACACCTTTACAAATCTGCATAAGGTGGGCTAAGGGCGACAGAAAGAGACTGAGTTATGTATATAATATGAATAAACCTGTGTAAGTAGTTACAACAAATCTGAGGGTCTGGAAATCCTTGCAGAGTACTTCTTTGTTTCAAAGATACGCATGCTGTTGTGACCAGCTATCTATTCTCTCTTCTCTACCTCTCCTTCCTTCCTTTACCTTGCTTTTTAATTCCTTCACACACACACACACACACACACACACACACACACACACACACAAAGTGCATTGTGAGTTTATATCTGGAAATCCATGTTCAGCTCTAGTCACTGTACCTCAGTCAGCTTGAGGGTGGGCAGCAAGGTTTTATGTTCTCAGTGAGGAATCAGAACTCTGCTAGGTGTCTTGATAATAGAATCCAATTTTGAATGAGGCTATTTTTTTTTTTACAATTCTCAGAAAGAAGTTATAGAAGTAAAAACCTCAAAAATCATAGCTATTATTATTAGAAATGAACTATAAAAGTGACCAAATATGGAAATTCCTATTTTATAGGAGGATTGCTATGCCAATTTTTTCTTTGTTATAAAACAATTTAGTATATTTCAGTATATTTGGAATAGATCAGGACTTTTTTCTGGAAATAATAATGTCTTGATCTATGACAAATAGAAATGTACATGCAAAGGAGTTTAACTTTCATTTCATTACATTTTATTCTGTGAACATTTGTATCTACTCTTTAATTAAACATGATTTATTCAGATTGAGGTCTGTTTCCATTTAGATTGCTTGCAGTGTTAATCACAATGCAAATAGAACTGAAAGAGCTCTTGCATTATACTAATATATAAACGTTTCTGTGTAATTCTCATCTGTGGTGTGCGCCTACATGTTACTAGATGTGTATGGAATGCTTTACTTATTTTGCTACTATGTTAAAGTATGTAACTCATTTAATATAACATTTATATTTTTATGAATTTATATAAACATAGTTTTTTGAGTTAAAAAAATTTTTAATGCACAGACAAGAGGTCCATTTCTTATCACACACTGAGTACGGATAGAAAACATTTTCACTTCAGCAAATGCAATTCCAGTTTATTCCATCTCATGTTAACTTCTTGATAAAGATGTAACTGTATTGTTAGAAACAAATGTTCTTAATTATAACTTCTTTCATTGATGATTATAGATCTGACCTGATGAACAAATAGAAGTTCAAAGGTTCAAAGGTTGATGTGTTTTAATTAAATTCACAGGTGCTACTTATTGTGTAAAGACTTGGAAGAAATAAGGAAGAAAAGAAAAACAGTGCCTGAATATTCTTAATAGTATATATTAAAAACTCTTGATTGTTCTACCCACTGTGAAAACTTCCTTCTATTAACATTTCAAAGAAGCAAGAGTTAGGTTTTATTTACCGGTGATATAGTTCAGTATTAAATTTAGAAATGCTTTGAGTACCTGAGAATTAATATGTATGTGGTACCTATTAGCATCAAATCCTGGGTGGGTCTCTGTCCTGCCTGGCTTCATTTATTTCTTAAATCCATCCCACGTATGGCTTCACCAGGGCTTTCTAGAGTACGGGGATACAGAGGGTGCCCTCCCAGCCAGCTCCAAGTCTTCAGTGCCAAAAAATAAAGGCCAGCTTCTTTATCTGACCCTAAGGGTTCATGGTAATCTGGTCCCCGTCTACATCCTCAGACTTGGTTCCCAGCACTCCCCTTCCCACTCTCTGCTCCAGACTGTGCTATTCATGAACTGGACACATTGTCATACCATGAACATTTGTCTACAAAGTTGTGACTCATCCTGGATCCCTGCTTGAACATACACCACCATCCTCATCCTGTTTTTATTAACCCTAATTAAAACTTTCCTTCAAATCCAAGATAAATTCTATTTCCCTTATGTGGTCGTTTCCAGACATTAATATTCAGTTTCTTCCCTATAAGTATTTAAAAGGTAGCTTTTTATGTCTAACTTTACAAAATAAGGCAATACATTCTTTAAGATAGGAAGATTAAGTAGGAAGATTAAACTTCTTATCAACCACTGACGTTATTCTCACCTAAAACAATTGCAGTAGATATAACACAGGGAAAGGCTTGTTAGTCATATTCCAAAGTAGCCAGCTATTGCCACTGCCTCGCACTGAGCTGGCAAGAAAATACGTGACACAGTGACTTTTGTTGCCACTTTCAAAATTTGATGAAAATATTTTGCATGTTGGTCCAATATAAATAAAGACTAAGTGAAATTTTGTAAAGACTAAAAAAGAACTAAATATTTCATCAGATTAGAAAAATAAATAAATGACATATTCTTCCTTTCCCTTCCCTTCCTTCCTTCCTACCTTCCTTCCTTCCTGGAGAGTTTTAATGTCAAGTATTTGGGAGTATATTATATTTTGTAGTACATAGCTATTTTTAAAAATTATCAGATTCTGATTTTATCCTATTATTTGATATTATAAAGTGTGCAAATTATTTAGATTCTTTCTAACCAGTCATGAATTGTCTCCACTCTAAATCTGGAGCAATTCACTAGAAACTAAAAAGGATGGCTTTCAGAGAAAGTGATCACCTGCCTAAGGAAGTTTAGAACAAGCTTTGCTGTAAACTTAAAATGAGGGTAACCATACTGCTTCCAAGAGAAGATGTTGTTGAGAAGAAAGAAGTTAAAGGAAAGGGCAAAATAGGGGATTTCTAGTATTTTGTCCTTATTTGGTATTGAGGGAGCAGTGTAATAATCATATTGTTTTAAGCACTGTGAAAAACCAGGACTTTGAAATAACTTTTGATACGTTGTAGTGTATCAGAAGGCACATTACACATTTGAAATATTTTTTTTTTCAGATTGTAGCAATATTTTGTTAGAAATTTCATCAAGGAACAGTTATTGGGCACTAGTGGTCTTCCAGATAGATTTGTTGGGGTACAAAGAACAGTGCAGGGCAGGTGCTGCATTTGTAAAGCTCACAGACTGACTCAGTGAAAAGGTGAAAGACACATGAACAGAAAGCCCATAAGTAACTCCATCTGAGTGTGTAAGCAGGAGCTGCGGTAATAAGAGCAGAGCGGGAGTTCAGCTGAAGTAGACGATAGGAAGAGACAGCACTGGGGAGCAGTGTGTGCCCTCTGACTACAGGCCTACCTCCCACAGACCCTAGCATGTGCTGTGCTTACAGGGAACGGTGTGTAAATATCAGTGACTGATATCTGCCAGAATTAGTCACTATTTCTTTTTTTGTTCAAAATCCCATTTGTTGTCTCTGTTGTCCAAAATTAGCATGGAAATTAGTATAACCTGCTAAATGTTTTATGTTTCATGTGATTTTGCATCAGGTATAATAATGGTATAGCAAAGGTAAGTCCCTTTAGTCACCCTAACTTTAGAAACCCTTGAGTGAGATTAGGAAGTGATCATCATTTGCATTTATTATACTTTGCATGTAACGAGCTTTAGCTATTAACTTTAATTTGCTTCTCATCGCATTCATCAAGGGTGAACTATTTAGAAACTAAAACATCTCTGTCAGTTAGAATTTTAATGAATTAAGATGAAAGGAGACAGTGTTAATTGGCAGTGGTTGCTGCAGGGGAGGTTTCTAGATCTTAAAAGTGAGACCAATTCATTTCTCTATCAGGGTTAATTTGTTTGATTTAATTCTAAGGATACACTGCATATTTCCCCAAACTATTCATATTTACTTTCTGGATTGGAGAGTGGTTTAGTTTTGTTTGTCTTTTATTTGGATTCTCAATTCCATTTCAACTTGATTTAATTTGATTGTTAATAAATTGTCAGTTGTAAGCACTGTTTGCATTATTGACTAGACACACACACACACACACACACACAACCTAATAGCATTATTTTGACGTGGTTTTATTTGGAATGCCTAAAACCTTCCAATAATTAATCATTTTTTTCCACCGATAATTCTCTTCCTCTGTTCTATGTTCTGCAGATATAAATGAATGTGAAGCTGAGCCTTGCAAAAATGGTGGAATATGCACAGACCTTGTTGCTAACTATTCCTGTGAGTGCCCAGGGGAGTTTATGGGAAGAAATTGTCAATACAGTAAGTATTCATATATATCTGAATATATATATGTATATACCTTTATTTGCATAACCTCCATCTATTATGGAATCTGGGTCAAAGTCAATGTAATTTGCTTCCAGAGTTCATAATGTATTGAAATGGTACATGTCATACTTGTTGTTAATGTTATCCATGTACATATACTCTCCAGGATGGGTGTCACTCAGAGCATGATAGGCATAGGAGTGGTCACCTGATAGTCTCACAGGAGACCAGCAGTTCCTCAGAGAACCAAGTGCATCGCTCCCATGGGCTCCATTTAGACTTTTGAGTATGTGTATAACCTAAATTTCCCCCAGAGTGGATACTCTGGCTCAAACAATAAATTCAGGGCATTCTAACCAGATAGCCTTCATCACAGATAAAAGGTAGAGATTAACAAGGATTCATGTTGAACTGGCCGAGACATTGGTCAGAATTTTACGTGCTATTTATTTGTCTTCTTGGAAGCCTAAAACAGTAGGGTCTTGAGACAGTGGGTCAGATTATAGGACAATAATTTGCCTGAAGTGTTTACAAATAAGCACAAAGCATCCCTCAAACTAGGGAAAGGTAGTAACAGGATTACAGTCAGTGGGAGGAGACCAGAATTAGGTACAAATGCATGCTAATGAGAACAATAATTATTAATTGTTGGGCACTTACAGAAACTTCATAGAGCTACTGCTTTGATGTGTGTATTATTACAGCATCGTAACATTATGCAGATTCAGAAGGCAGATGGGGATGAGAATTCAGGTGCAAGAGCTGAGACACATAGGCTGTGTGCTTTACCCAAGCCCTCATGGTTAGTGACAGAAACAGGACTGGAAGGAATCTATAATCAGGTCTTTTCAACATATTTTTCCATATAGAGTTGAACAAGATAAACGTGAAAGCACCCTCTATCTCTTCTCTCCCTTACACACTCACACGTACACGTACACATACACGTACACAATCCACCCCCTTCTGCTTTAGCCAGAGGAGCAATTTTATTTCTCACCTTCTCTCTCTTTCTTCCCCCTTACCATTGTTACTTCATAAAATAAAACGGAAAATTAGTGAAGAATTTATTTGGGTTTTATATGTAAACAAAATGATCATCTTGGGATTCTTATCACCCTAGTCCTGAAAAACCTCATTAAGATAATGAAATTTTGACTATCAAAGAAATACCTCAGATTGGGGGGTAATTTTTCTAGGCTTAAAAGTAATTGGAGAAGGAAATTGAGCATGAGTTAATAAAGGAAGCTTCAGGCAAGGATGAATGGAAGGAAAGGACCGTCTAAGTAAGCAGGTTGATCATACAACCAAATAGACCAATAGCTACCCAGTTATCTAACCTAGCAAACTTCCTGTAAAGCATTTAACTGACCACTCACCAAGTTAACTTAAATTCAGATTCATCTGGTCCTGGGCCCACCCAGGTGCAGCTCTTGTGTCCTTTTCCCTTTAGTTCACGGGACTTGAAGATGGCTGCCTAGTCAGCCCTTGCCCCTTGTCCTGACCGAGGAGCACTTAGACAGTCAGTTGGTTGCCTACCCGATAAAAATTAATAGAGACCTGGACGTGAGCTAGAATTTGAAATTGATGAAGCCTTTTCATCCCTGCATCAGAAATTTTATGGAGGTCACCACCTCTAAATATACCCCTGAAAGGAAAGAAACCTGATTAGAATGAACATATTGAAATACTTTGGACTTAATTGTCACCAGTTTGTGTCTAGTGTCTTCCAGTCAGTTTTTGCTGTTGTGTTTAATTAAAATTCTTTGTTTTTCTTTGACTTGGTTTTATCTTTGTAGTATATTTATGTTTGAACTCAGACTTCTCTCTGAACATGAATGTGGTAGTGAGGTACCTCCCTTAACTTATCACATGTTCACATGCTCTGATATTCTACCCTTTCCTCTGTTCATCTCTGTGTCCAGACAGAGATTGATGAGAGTTACCTAACATACAGTTTAAAATACATTCCTAATGGGGTATTTGTTTTTATTGTTTTGATTTGTAAGATTGTGTAATGAATTCAGAATCCTGATTCTTCCCATTGTCTAGGTTTCTAAGGATATGGTTTTGCTTTTCCTGTGGTTTTTTAGAATGTTTAGGAAATCTAGAGCAAGAAAGTGCATCTTGCCGCAGTGATGATTTAGTACTATGCACTAAGAACTTAGATCCTTCACTTACTGCAGGGCATGCAGAAGCACCTGCAGGTTACAGGTGCCAGCTCCAAGCTGACTGAGTTTAGGATTTTGGGAGTAGACATTACATAGATTATAGCCAATTTGCCCACTTCCACTCTGAAGTAAGATTGATAAACTTTCTTCAGGCTTTGTATCATGTCCCACAGGGGTACCACTAGGTCAGCTTTCACCTGCACTAATGGCAGGGAAGCCATTTGCTTTAGTAGATATCTCATGACAGGGAGAAGGGAGAGTGATGGAGACTCACTGCTGGGTGGGTCAGAGGACACTCGTACCAAAATGATGTCATCTTGGTGTTCAAATCCAAGCTGCCTTTAGTCTCATTTGGGGCTCCTGCACTCATATTTGCTTTACTTACTCCACTTCTCTCTTATTTGTACTGATGGGATAATTAAGTTCTGGTATATTTTAAAATGAAATCATTCGCAGTGCCCCCCAAAATAACAAATAATAGAAGATGTTGCAAAGGAATAGAATTAATTTTGTAAAATTTATGCAAAACAGTAAACTATAAACACAAATAATAAACTGGGGACATATTTACAATAAACGTGAAAGGCAATATTTCTCATCCTTAATTTATTATATCTTTCAATTCAATGAAATTAAACATAACAACTATCATTTTCTTAGGCCCTGCTCCAGCCACGCTGGCCTCCTAGCTGTCCCTGGCAAACACCTGGCATGTTCTTACCCTAGAGCCTTTCCTTTCCCTTCTCCCTTTTTCTGTAATATTCTCTGTTATGAATACTCCCACGCTTCCTTCACGTCATTACATAAAAGACATCTTCTCAACGAGGCTTTCCCCAGCCTCTCCACGTCCCTTCCTCAGTGCTCCGAAACACACACTCGTCCCCTTCTCTGCTATAGTTTTTTTGCTTAGCATTTAATCACTCTGTCACATTTTTACTTTAATATATTGTCTATGATTGTTTCTCCCATGAAGTATATTCCAGGACGGTGAGATTTTGCTGTTGTAATCACAGTTGCCAGAACAGGGCTGGCATACAGTAAGTGCTCAATAAATATTTGCTGAATGAATGAATGAAGCTAGCACTCCCTTAAGTATAGGGATAATATCTGATTTCTCTTTGTTCTCAATTACTGTCAAGTCATTTTTCACCTGACTTTTCATTTTTAAGCAGTATTCTAAAGCTGCTTTTGCCAATATAGTAAATACAATCTGCTATATTATTTGGTACTCAATAAATGGTATTGCAAGTTGAATTGCTTTCCTTCAACTCGATAAAATCTTTTATAACTGTCTTTTGCAGTGGGGTTAAGAGAGGTAAATAGGGACATGTTTCTCATTTTAGGTCACTTCTACATGCAGACATCTATATGATATATATGTACATACACACCATATCTTCATTATCCATTTATCTGTTGATGAACCACTAGGTTACTTTCATGTCTTGCCTATTGTAAATAGTGCTGCTATGAACATTGGTTGCATGTATCTTCCAGCCCAGGAGTGGGATTGCTGGATCATATGGTAACTCTATTTTTAGTTTTTTAAGGACCCTACATATTGTTCTCCATAGTGGCCAATTTACATTCCCATCAACAGTGTAGGAGGGTTCCCTTTTCTCCACACCCTCTCCAGCATTTATTATTTGTAGACTTCTTAATATTGGCCATTCTTACTGGTGTGAGGTGATACCTCATTGTAGTTTTGATTTTCATTTCTGTAATATTTAGTGATGTTGAGCATTTTTTCATGTGCTTTTTGGCCATCTGAAATATTTTTAATATTAATGATATACTACATTTTTAAAACCTGAGTATACTTATTCATTTTCACTTAAAGGCAAGATGTTTATGTTGAGATGCTACTTTAATATTATTTTAAAAGTTATCTGAATTCTTTATTATAATGTATGTTTTTAATTAATATAGCTATTAAATACCTTTACTTTATGAGGAATAAATTTCTATCTAACCCTATCTATTATGATATACCTAATTATGTGATCATAATTATTATGCATATCAATCACTTATTAAACATTTTTAATATGTTTTTACATAACAATTACATAACAATGTAATTATTTCAAATGTTAACAACACATGTCTTAATACTTGGCAAAGACTCTGCCTGTTATTTTCACATTATTTCCTAATGCTTATAGGTGGGTTAAGGCAATCATACATCTGATTTAAATCATTTCAGTTTAAATTTCCAGATACTGTTCATATAAGTTATGATTGACTTTGCCAGATCTCAGTTACTTTTAGTTTTATTTTTCATTTGTTTATTACAGGAGATTTGATTGTTTGATTATTTGTTTATTTTATTTAAAGTTACTTTTGATTAATAGATAAAAATTATTTAGATGTTTCCATAGTATTTATTACAGTATTACAGGTATTCTTCTAATTAAACTTCTAATTTATGTTCCCTTATTGCTTCTTAAATGATACATGCTCAAGTGTTCAGATAGCCATTTTCATAGAGTTTGAAAGGACAATGATGATGAACTGGAATGAGGAATCTGTTCTCATAAGAACAGGTTTATGCTTTGCCATGTAGGTTTAACAGATCATGATATTTAAATTAAAGTGAGTACAATGGAAATTGATAGCACTTTAATTTACTAATCTAAAATAAGTAGAATTGTTTTCATTTATTGGGCCACGTGGCCCACAGTAGCCATATACAGTTCCCTCCTGGGTGTTTAAATGTGACATGATTAAATTTCAGAAATAGCACTCAAATTCATTTCCATCACTAATACTATTTCTGGAAATTAAGATAGTCACCAAGGGAGCTCTTATAATACAACA